CTAAAGGTTATGAAATTGTTTCATTGTAGGTCACTTGAAAATGACTGGAAACAATGGAAAATTGGAACATACTGTCTTCTGTCCCGAAGAGTGTTCATTACGTCACAACGAGATGATTCTTGCGTTGTGTGGCAATGAAGATCACAAAAAGCCGTCGGACTTGTCATCTTTAAAAGTTGCCCTGTACTCTCATCTTCAAAATGGATGGAATGCCCATTGTAACGTCCCGGATGCTCTTCCAGAGTTCCGCTTCCCGCTAGTACACTGGGCATGCGTGTTGGGTAGAACTCAAGCTTTGAACTGGCTTCTCACGAAGCTGAAATTCAAGGCATTTGTGACAGTCGAACGAACAGGCGAAACGGGTTTGCATCGAGCTCTAAGGCTACTTCATAAAGTGAGAAGTCGCGATGCAAAGCCGCGGTCTGTCAGATTCATTTGCAACAAGTTTCGTGTGATTGTTCACAAACTAACTGAGCAAGACCCTAGTGGCTTGTTTTTGAAAGACAAAGTTCAGGGAAATACGGTTTTTCATATGTGTGCTCTCTGTATAAGCGAACAAGAATCTGCTGGTAGGGAATTAGATTACTACGACAATTGTATGAAAATCTTGCTCCAATGCGTAAATGAGCTACAAACTACAAAGAAACTTCCCTCAGATTCGCTGCACAAAGCCATCAATTCACAGAACGACAGAGGTGAAACCGTTCTTCACATACTTGCACGGAACAATTACTCCTTCCTAGCGGTCAGGTATATCCTGTTCGATCATAAAGAGATTGTGGACAGGTTTAAAAAGAACCACGAACACATGACCCCGCTTGATATTGCTCGCGATCGCCAGGCAAACCTCGTACAAAAAGAACTTGATTCTGAAGGTGTTGGAATAGATGACTTGGCGCGGAATCATCCGGATTTATATCAGCTTTATACTCAAGATGATGACGACGATGCTTACCTCTGCGAACACCAGTTTTCGCGTAACGGTCAAGTCACTCTCAGCACTAATAATTCTGGAATCACGGCCCAAGATTCTTCCAGGGCGTATCCTTTGCGTTTAAGTAGCCTTTTTCAAAGAAAAGGGTTTTATTGTTCGTCCTCTATAGATCTGCAGAGATCTGCTTCGGAGGATAGTTCCTCACAGGACGAGGGAGCTCAGTCACCGTCAGTTCTTGACAGTCTTTCAGTTCCTTCGACACAGAGCCTTACAACGAGCACTGAAAACACTGCTGCTTGCGACAGTCAGTCGACAGTCAACTCTGATTCGGAGAGTGCATCTCAACACAACGGGAATGAAGATGAACGCGGCGTTACCGTAGTTGTCGACGAAGATCTTATAAGAATGAGCGTACAAGACCAAGGTGATGCATGCTTTGTGAAAGAACTCAACAATTGTACTGTCCCATCCGTCACAAATTGCGATGAAAACATTGTCGTAATGGATTTTCCTTCTAATTCAAATTCATGCTCTGGAGATGTTCTATTTTCTGAACATGGGTTACCAGTGCAAGAAAGAGAGGACGTGCAGGCTTTGACAGGGCGAAACGCTAAAGAGGAGAGCGCATGTGACGCACTTGGTGACTGCCCATTATTTCATGAGAATAACGTGTCCAGTGCTCTTGCAAAAGTTATTCGTCAAGAGAGTGATGTTGCGAGCATGTTGGTGGCCAGACTTCAAGATAAAAAAGAGCGGACCCATGTGGCTTTGCGCGAAGCGCAGCGATCACTGGTAGAAAAACAGGCCACGGAGATGGCGGCCACCAACAATCTTCAGCAACTGAAAGTAGAAATGGAACGTCTAAGTACTCAAAACGAACGCATGAAGCGCAGAAGGGAAGAATTGTTAGCAGAGCTTAAAGGTATAGAGGAAAGTTTCAACCATTTTGAAAAGCAGTCGCTTGTAGTTCAGTGTAAGGTCGAGGAAGAAGCTCAAGTCGTTGCAAGTTTAAAAGCAGAACGTGAAAAGGCCAACAAAGAGTGTGTTTCTCTAAAACGCAAATTTACCGAATACAGCGAAGCTTTAAATGACATTTGTTCCCCTTGTGAGGAGCCAAAAGTTAAAAGGGAGTGTTTTGAAACTATTGACTCTTAGTAACATTGCCCGTAGAGGTATTAGGGAGCTTAAGCAATCATGACGAAAGGGACGAAGACGACGTCAAGTAATCGCGGAGGGTCTGGAACGAGGACGTCGTTTTTAGCGGGAAAATGAAACTTAAGCAGTGAAGTTGCTCAAGGACAACGACGTCTGAAATCTTATTTATTTGTCAGTTTAAGAAATGACATCGTTCATAGACGTCCAAAACCTTCTTCTTCTCACTCATGGATCAAATTTCCGCATATATATCGAAAGTTCGAGAGTAGGTTGTTCAATTCTTGAACATCAACAGTTAAGCTTTAGCTTTATTTACAATAATTTACGCATCGCAAAAGTTTAAAATATTAAATTTTACGCTAGTTATTTAAGATTTAAATTCAGTTCTAATTGTTGCTGATATAAACAAACTTATTTTGCACAAGGTTTGTCTGATTTTCAACATGCTTTAGCCTGATAAGAAGTAAGTCAAAACGAAGTACCAAACGTACCAAACGAAGTAAGTCTGTCAATTTAATCAATGCTAGCTAGCGATCGGCACAGATAGCAGTCGTCGCGCTTTACCCAAGAATACTATTTTTTCCCGTGTGATTTTGTCGGAATAATTTTTATGGCTGTAAATCTATATCAAACATTTTGAAAATAAATTCGGAAAACCTGACAGGTATTCAAGCTCTTGTTAACACGCCGATCTGAAGAATTCTTTGTTGTTTAAAGCGTCTCCATTGAAGAACAGCAAGTCAGCAACACGCAAAATTTTTAAGTAGCAATAATCCGGCAGTTCCATACACAGCTTTTGACCGAACGCAGAGGTGTATTACACTGCCATTTAAAACTTTTCATTCAATAAAAATGATAAACAGCACTCTTTCTTAAAATATACTTAAATAAATTTAAACCTTACGTGGTCGCTTTCACCGCTTGACTTGACATCTGTTGTGCGGAGGAGGAATATGAGTTGGTGGGTTTTCGAATTTTATTTGTTTAGAAAACTGAACAGGGTGGTTTAAATCAAACGAAGAAGCGAATACAAACTCCAACCGGCCATAGACTGTCTAAAAACTGACAATAAACCCGCACCTCTTGATGAGAAAAACTGCTTTGAAGTTCGAAAGTTCACGACGACGTGAAACAGGTCCTTCTCAAGTCGTCCACGACAAGACGACGACGGAATTCTTGGTTCACGCTTGCGCAGTGACGTTCTTGCTACTTCCGGTCGTCGTCCTCCTTTCGTCGTCGTGGTTGCTTAAGCTCCCTATTACGAGCTAGCTATGTTGACTATGAATTGTAGTATTTACAGTACTTAGAATTGAAAGAACATAGGCTTATGTTCTCTTAGACTGTAAAAGTGGTAGCTTACGTGTGGCTGTACCCTCCCCCCACCCCAAGGAGAGACATTTCTCCTCGAGAACACGGTACTGACTGGCTGTCAATTTCTCAGTTGTTTCTTTCTCATTACATTTTGCACCGAAGTATCAGAATGCTTACTCTCCATACTGTTCTCGACATATTTCTTAAGGTGCTGTCAAGGAGAGTTTTTTTTTTTTAAAAAAAGAAATATCAAGAGCTTGTTTAGTTGGTGATCATTTCCTTTCTTCTAGTGACCTTAATATGGGATTTAGGAGTGATATTGTAAGGAGAAATAATTCACTCATAGAAAGTCAAAGAGTGAATACGCACATGTCTTGAGAAATGAATTGAGGTTTTTTATAAGTTTGTTTTGTTTTTTGAATCTACCAAATGTTTTTCTATTTTATTTTTCCAGAAAAATAATCAGAACTCGTACTCTTTCTCAGACCTATCTGATCTGTTTGTGCATTATTAAAATTGGGCCTAATTTTTTTTTTTTTAAGTTTGCATGTGTTTGATTGGTGACAAGTTCATCACTCTTTTTCCTGGATTTGAGCCAAGACTTCGCATTGCCGTTTTGAGGTTTTTAGTTTGAATTGTTAAAAGCAAACTTTGATTTTCTGTAGTGTTTTTTCATATGCATGTCGCAGCACCTCTTCTTAAACGTTTTGAAACCCGACCACCATATTGGCATTTTATGAACGTTGCCATTGCTGCTTAGTTTTTTAAAGGCAAAATATAATTTTGATGCTGAAATTTTGTGCCAATATTAAGGGGTAATTGTTCACCTATGCGTTTGGCTTTTTGTAATCCGTCAGTTTATCACAACAATAACAAAGGAAAAGCTGCTTTTACCGTGGCCAGAGTTAGTAGAGGGACTCCAGTCCCCTCTACTAACTCTGCCGTGGCCCATTTAATCTTCAAACTCTTCAAGCGCAAATGCATCAAAATTCCTGCTGAAACTCTACAAAAGAATAATTAAATTACTTTCTGTTTCAAGTCTTGTTTTATAGGAGCAAGCCCTCTAGCTGATGGGTAATAAAACTTATCGGTTTCAAAATTTACATTTCATCAGAATGTTCTCTAGCCAAGCTTTGCTTGGCTCCATTGCGAGCACGCATAGCAGACCTAGATTTTCAGTCCGTCACGCAATTTCAAAGTGTGAAATGACTTCCTCGCGCTCGAAAAAGCGCGAGCGTGCGTGGAATGAGCATTTCACGGCTGGGTGCCTCTTGTTGCAAGTGGTCTTCGGAGGACAGGTTGATGATGGAAAAATGTTCTGATTGCATAATAATTTGGCTCAAGAAAACGCGTTGTTTACGGGGTTGAGAGAGGTTTGGAGTGAAGAGATTCTTTTCTAGGCCTGACTCTTGGGTCACCTTATTCAAAACCTCAGGGGAAAACAGTCATTTACGGAAACGAATAATTTAACAAACAAGAAGCTGTCAACTTCAAAACGTGTCAGTTTCCATGGCAATGTCATCGATACTTTGTCAATGCGCACAAAGCGCGCCTTATTATGGTCTTGCGGTCCCGTTCAAACAACAATGCACCGGTTCCCTTGGGTGAATTGAGCAGTGCAGTACATCAGTCGTTTCGCAATTTCGCTTCCTCTTTGAGTGTGACGGCTGAAATATTGAGCAGAATGGATTGGGAATTCGAAGGAGAGCGCAGATTGGTGTGTAGATTTATTTCACAGACTTGCTGTAGCTTTAGTTATGGTGCTGTTATTTGAGCACAGTAAATATCGTAATTTACTCGTTAGAACGCGTTTTTAGTTAGTTAAGAGCGCCGTGCGTTACTTTGTTTTCGCTAGAGAATATTTTCGGCACCTCTAATGTCTTTCGATAAAATTTTCCCAATTCATCGCAGAGAAAGCAGAGTCGGAGGAATTACAACTACGATACGGATGATATTATCGAAGGAAAACGAACATTTAGCGTCGAAGAAAAGCTAAACAGTCCAAAATTCACGGAGGGAGATTTTGTGCAGAAACTCGCAGGAGATGGTGGGTGAAAAGAACTGTCTTGTTGAATAAAGTTGTTTCATAGAAACCCTGTTGCTTACTATTTTGTTTTACTATTTTAGATTTAACCCTTAAGTTCATACAAGAAAGCGGCTTTGCCTTTCCCATGGTAATCAAAAACCCAGACGGGTTAGAAATGCGGTACGTATTTTGTTCAGCTCAGTGAAGTCCTGCCTTCAAGGGCTTCTGCAAATTTCATCAGTCATTTTTCAAATTGCTAAGAGTTGCCTCATTAAAGCTCAGACTTCTCTGAATTGTACAACCATTTTAGGGTTCCTCGGGAAGACTTTTCTGTAGAAGATGTCAAGAATTTTGTCGGTGAGCGTTGAAATTAATTTCAGAATGTTTGCCAATTAGGTGTATGTAGTTTGAAACTGCAGACTATTATAATTATAACCGACAATTCATGATCCAAGGCCGATCCTTGTGTTTATGATGGTTAGGAGCTCGGAGAATGGTGGATGTGATCGATGTCAACACTCAGCAAGCTTTAGAAATGACTTTACAACAATGGGTGAAATATTTTACAAGTCCAGAGCGTGAAGATATCTATAATGTCATCAGCTTGGAGTTTAGCCACACGAAATTAGAAGATTTGGTCGAGCCTCCCAAAATGGTAAGCATTGAATTTTTTCTTTTTATTTGTGAGCTACGTAGAATTGATTTTTTTCATTCAAATGCTGCACCACTTAAATTAAGGCCATTTATCATTATTTTCACCTCTTACTGTGGTTTGAGTTTGTGTTTCGCTGGAGTACTATAATTTAGATCATTGGTTGCCTGTTAGTTGTTAAATGTCAGTAAAGTAAGTAATTGTTGTTTTTAATTTGAAAGTGTTCTGTAGAGCTTCTTTCCGTTGAAAAAGTAGACATCTTGTGGTCGAGTTTTGCCGAGTGGCGTTGCGCTGTCTCTATTGGCATGACCTTCTCGTGGTGAATAGTTGGTTTGGAACTGGCGAAGTGATACAAACGCTGATTTGCCTTGTCACGCTGCCAGAATGCTTTTTTTCCCCCACAGAAATCGATATAAGCTTGAAGAAAGAACCAAAGAGGTTATTTTGTCGAAATGTCCAAGAACTGATCCTTCTGGAAGCCCCCCTGATCACAAGATTATGTCCCAACTTTCAGCACTAACCACACGCCCTCCGAAAACGAAATCTAAAACAGCGAAGAAAATCCAAGTCGCATTTGTACTTGGTAAATTTTACCCTATCATTTATGTTTTTACTACTGGAGCGATTGTGAGAGCATTTTATTGAGGTATTTTAATTGTTGACAAGGCTCCTGTAACTAAGGCTAAAATCGTAAGGCTTATGACTGGCTGTAGGCCACGAAACACTGCGACTAGAATTATTCTAGAAACCTTTTCGATCTCGGTAAAGCAAATTGCGGAGCTAATTATAGCTGTCATCTAAAAGAAAATTACTTTAAAATTGTTTCTAGTTGCGGTCCAGACACAATTGTGTAAAGCTTCTCTTGACTATTGGGTACGTTCCTTTCCTTGCAACTGCAAATGCGTCACTCCTCGGCAATCACTCTACAAGGTTAAAAATGACCGTGTGTGTTTACGTTCAATTGTTCCTTACACGAAACCGTTGCACATATTTATCCACATATTATTGGAGAATAAAGCCTGGTTCAGCTTTTTAGCACGTTTTTTAACATAGAAAATCAAATCAGATTTGAATATCGGCAAAAAATGCTGTGTGCCTTGTGTTGCTTTAGTTATGTAAATATGGCGGCAGGTTTAGAGTCATCTCTTCGTGAACACCGCACGAGATCACACGAAAGTGAAATTTTAGTTCTGAAAAGTGTGCCGATCTTGAAATTTGACATTCCTTGTACTGCATTTGTGATGTTTCTCAAAGTTTTCACTAAAAAGTCTCGACTGGAGATAAACAGCGTGCAATTTTGAGCACGGTTGCTCTGTTCTTTAATAGAACTGGTTTAGCACTGGTAGCTACAGGTTTTACGAAACGCATTTTTAATAGACACAATGTTGTCTTGATCGGGGATCCGGTAAAGATTGTATCATCGAATTGCTTGACGTGTAAAACATAGTCTGGCAAGGGAATGAGCCATTGTGAAGGAAAAATTAAAAAAAAAAAATTCTTTGGTGCGGGAGTTATTTGACTCGGAACTCCCTTTCAATGACCGTGCCGTGGTTTTTGTGATTTGGGTGTAACCTTCTCTGGTACTTGCATTCCTCACTGGCCTTTAAGTATTCGTTTCGATGCTAAGTAGTGATTCGCGTTGCTAAATATATATCGTATTGACAGAATCTACTCCAATTCGTACCGGATCTGCTAATAATATTGTTCTGCATGATATAAAGCTAAATAGTTTTTTTTAGTATTTAACGGTTCCAATAACTCATATATATCACCTTTTCTTCCCTCGACTACTTTTCAAAGCTAAGTCTAAAAGTTGGTCAAAGCTGTCGGAAACGAACACTAAAAGCCACTGATTTGAACAGAATATTTGTTCTCCAAGCAACGAGACGTTCTGTTCTGTCCATCTTATCAAGCAGGGGAAAGTATCAATCAATTACAAAGCAATTAAAAACATGAGAGACAAGAAGTAAAGTATTGGAAGAAGATAGAATTTCTCTGCCGTTCGCTGGGGTTGAAGAATTTTTGTGCACTCTTCGTTCGATTCCATGTAATGAATTTTTAAAATCAACATAAATTTCACTTCATTGAACTGAAAGAGGACACGATGGTGAATAATTTTATAAATAGAGGATTTTCGTCTTCTTTCATCTTACATTTACTCGCCTACAAATTCTAGGTTATGTGATACAGGAGAAGTTTTTTTCGGTAGTAAAGACCTTAGAACTCATCGAGTCGGTGGAAATATCTAGCTTCCCCTTGCACCTAGGTGGCTGATTTAGAATTGATCTTGGTTGTCTTAGCGTCTTTTCCTTTGAAAACGTAGAATCAAGGTCTTCCTGTTCTTATAAATAGTTTTGGATTCTTAAAACTCTTGTGAGGATTACAAATGATTCAATTTCAGACTATTGCATTCTGAAATTTCCTTCGTTTGTATCTCACCCTCTGATTTCTTTTCTTTTTTTTTCCTTTTTTTTTTTTTTGTTTCGCTTTGGTTTCCCACCGCGAAACAAATTATTAGCGTTGAACGGTAGTAAAAATTGTAGCAATTTCTCTGTGAGTGGAGGTTGAAGATCACTCAAACGTGCTTAAAAACATGTATTGGCGTGCGTCTTTTGATTTTTGCGCCGCATATTTATTATTTGATCATATTTAATCTAAAAAGTTTGTAGTCTCTTTTATTAAAAAGATACACGATTTCTTTCAGGTTCGTGAAATGGACTGGGTGAACGTCGTTTGGCCCCAACATCTCATCGAAGAACAGAGAGATTCAACAAATTCTTTAGCAGATATGAAGTATCCTAAAGTGAGAAAGTAAGTTGACAATTTACTGACTATTTATAACTCCCTGATATGTGGCCTGCGACGAGTTATGTCCATAAACACGCATTTAAACCTAATTTGGCGGATTAGATCCGTATGAATCTGATGAATTTTCCACTAACATTGCCTGTCGTCCATGTGCAAGTGACTAAACATCGTGATCAAAATAGAGCACGTGCTCAATTCCACGATAATTTCAACCGTAAATCTATTGAAGGTGAAACTTATTTATTTCTGATTAGTGAAATAACGATTTGTTTCTTTGATTCTTGTTCGTCTCAGGCGATATTTGAAGATGGCTGTAGATCTTCTTGAATCTTATTAGGGAGCACTGTGTAATTAAACGAAATGTTTTCTTTTGAAAGATGAAGCTTCTGGACAAACTCATTATTGAGTTCAGTCTGTCCAACAACTCTCAGCTGGGTTCGAGTGTTGTCACCACGCGCCGAACAGATTAACGAGCGAAGTAGTTAGAAATTTTCTTTAAACGTGCAACACTGCTGTTATTATAGTTCTTTTAAAGTGAAGTTAAAACAATATCTAGAATCAGGCAAGTTAGAGACAAAACTCAAGCGCTCTTGCAGCCGAAGAAAATGAATATATTTACATTTCTGCGACCAACATGTATTGAATTTGTGCGCTCCATGTTTACTTTCGAAATTTGATTTTGTGTGCCTCACCAGTTAACTGTCGGATACTGTACTATTTTACATCATATGGTATTTAAAATATTGTTGAAGTAAAAGCTCCTTGTCGTCGAAGCAGCTATTGATAGAGGGGTGTTTTCCGTTGAAATTGCTTCGAAACGGCGGAGAACAAAGAACTAAATTCATTTTGAATCCAATCTGTATTACCTGGCGAAATTTAAACATTACATGCCCCTTTCAAATGCCCAAAAAATAGGAATAATCTTCATTTAGCGTTGTTAGAAAGGAATATAATGTAGAAAATCTCTTTTGAGACTGTTCGCTCAAATTTCTTCGATATTTCGGTTAGAAATTCCATGTGGCAAGATTGCTTTATTGCGTGACTCGCATGAAATGATAAACAAACTTCTGTTTCATCAAGAGTGGGCAACAAGCTATTTTACCACACGTTTCAGTCGCTTAAAGTTCCATTCGGATGTTACGTTTAAACAGCAGGAGAACGCGCTTTTAACAATTAGGCTTGTTTGTTACGGATCCTTTTTTTTGTGGATAAGTTTGTTCATGTTTCAGCTGCCTATGTGGTTATGGTCGACTGAGCAATCCTTATTGCGTTTGATTTCGTGTCGTCTTCGTTTCCCGTTAGATTGGCAAGACAAACCTACCTTTCGTTCTAGGCGCGTTGTATATTGACAGTTAAAGTGATTAATTAGCTTGGGAAGCGATTCGCCAGCCTAAAATAAGGGTTTGTTCACTCCAAAGGCGAAGATACTCAAGTTATTTCTTTACAGCAACCCTTTAATTGCTAATTCATTTGTCTTTGTGCTCAGGAAAGATCAGTGAATACTGAAAGCAAAATTTCACTTTGTTAAATCACGAACGACAGACAATACTTAACAGTATTAGAATTTAGAGGCACAAGTTTCAATTTTTGCAGTTTGGTTCTGTGTTTTTCAGTCTTAAGAAACGACTCTTAGTTTGAAACGACAATTTTGAAGCGACAATTAGTTTGAACTTTGAGTGAAACGACTGAAGGGTTCAAATGTTAAAAAATTCCACCACAGTCAACTGCTTTTTTAGGGAAGATAACTTCAATGCTCGTCAAAAAGTTAAATTTCTTTAAAAGAAGATATGAATTTCAACAGCGTCTAAAAGACATAGAATGTGCAGGTTTTTGGTATGAATATTCACTGTTCAGAATCATTGCTGTGTGCTTTTGTTCAGCTGTAAACAGAATGAACTCAACCACTTTGTGAATTTGTGTCTAAAAAGTTGCTTATGTGATCTTCGTCAGTTTGAGCGCCAGGAGTAGCTTGGGAAATTTATTACAAAAAATCGATCCTTCTTCCGAAAATGTCGCCAGCAAATTGTGATGTTTGTGATAACTTTGATAATGGAAAAAATAAATGTAATGGGGACAGCAGATTTTATCAGTTCATTTTTAGGTCTATGTGTTGTGTAGCTCTACTTTATGAACGATACGTTCCCTTTTTCTCAAACCAACAAGAGTCAACCTAAACCATACAAGATGGTAAGTCTTAATTTTTTTTTGTATGTAAAAACGAAATTTTTAAAATTTTCCATCGTGATGGACGACACGTTTTCTCGTCCAGTAAAACGATCATTTGTTCTGGCCTCTCACCATTCGAGAGAATATTTCACGAAGCTTATTGTTCCTTCGTGTGATTGCTGTGATATAAAACCCATTAATGATATTATTTCTTTAATTAAAGGGCAAACTGATTTACAAAGCTAACAGTTTATCAAAAATTAGGGAAGGAAGAGGTATCGCAATTAGAGACCAGGAAAAACACAGAATGATAAAATAATTCGGCAATAAACAGATAGTTGTCATGTTCGTGCAATAAAAATGCTCTCCCACTATCTAGACGTCTCCGGAATATTGTCTTTTCTTAAAGACGAACCTGATTGCAAAATAACCCTGACACATTTGGGTGTATGTCATACTTAATGAACCGTTTTAGTGCACGAAAGTGGTAACTATCATCTGGTAATCTTTGATTTTGGTTGGTTTTGGTGGGCATTGGGTACAAAATACACGTTACAACTGATAATGAGAGTTCAAACAATTGATTGTTGTTTGTTACTCTGAGAATAGCTTTCTCTTAAAGGCCGCGCTAATATCAAAATCTTAAAATAGCCGACCAACCATTTTATCGCTGTCAATGTCAAACATCAAAGAAGCAATTCAAACTGGTGTTATGTAAAAACTCGTTTACCCCGCCTTAAATTAGCATGTGGACCAAATATCGCAGATCATACTGCCTTGTTACGCTAACATTAGCAATCATCTGAAAAATTCCTCGGTGCGATTATTATAAATGTTCACAGTACCTTCAGAACAAATTTTCAATGTTTGTGATTCAACTGAGATTGCGTAATTATTTACACCTAAAATAACCATGACTAATTATTCGCAGAGTTCTGTATATAAAGAGAAAAAGATGTTTAAACACTTTCAAAAAGTGAGCCATCAACTTTCCGTGTAGAATTAAAGGAATAGTGCTTTGGATTGCTGTTTCTTTCACCGTTTAAGATTTGATTTGTCCTTTTTGACAGAAATTTCGTTGTGCATGTATACATTTTCACGTGTTGCGCAATCCTCAAAATCTTTGTCTGGCATTGTTAATATCATAGTTTAAATATACCCAGGGTAATTAAATGTTTTGTGTTGTGCATTTTTTGAGTTTGCTAGGGCCTTTTTTTTTTCTTTGAAGATCACTTGGCACCGGCATAATCGCATGACAAATTGAGACGGGTTTGTAATCTCTTCAAGACCTTCACGAATGACGTTCGTGTGTATATTTTTGTTGTGGAAGTTCTAAACACGAGTTGAAACTGTAAGATGAAGGTAAAACCTGTCGTGTTCAAACCCAGAATCGAAGCTTCTCGAGGAATCTTGCAAGAATCTTAGTAACCGAAGTCACAGTGAAATCTGTTTTTCAGCACACTTGTATTCAGGGGATACAAACACTAGTCCAGGGCTAAAAACATGCTTGCACTTCTCTTCAATCAGACACCAAGTTACCATGTGAATATGTTTCAAAAGAGATCTGGAAGCCACGATTATGATCCAAGAATTGCCAACAACATAAACCTCCCATAGTGCTGCTCAGCCATGGCACAAAAATCGTTTTCACGGAGGAGACCACCAGTGCGGAACCCCTTGCCATCCGAAAAGTGGATTCTTTCAAACATGGCAGCTTAAGGAATCACTATCTAGAGAGTCTTCGTAGTTTCTGACTTTTTGTTTTTAGTAGAAATTAACCCCTTTTAGAGTTTTCCGTAGCAGTTGACATCTTGTTTATGGTACTTTCTACATATGTAATGTAGAGTGAATTCGTTCCACGAGGGAGTCCCAATGAAAATATTGTATTTTATCTTCAGATGATACTTTAGCTAGTCTCGAGTTCCTTTGGGATAGAGGTTATGCTTTATATGGGTTTAACATAGAATGCCTTTCTCTTATGTTACTGCATTTGTTTAGACCACTCCCTTGTCTAAAAGTTACCTTTTTTCTTTAATCAGGTACGTGTTGATGAGTGTGGGTGGGTGCTACACCGACTTTCACATCGACTTCGGAGGCACCTCGGTATGGTACCACATAATGAGAGGCAGAAAGGTCAGCTATTGTAATTGTAATGCCTAAAACCCTAGTGCTTTGCTTAGAACCAGAGAAGAATATCTGAGTGGGCCTTCGAGAACTCAGAAGGGGAAAACGGGAATACCTAATTTGAGTTTGGGGTTAAGTTCTTTATCCGCTTGGGGAGCGAGGATTTTCTAAGACCAATCTTAAAGTGTAGCAAAGCACCTCCAATTTAGTCTTCAAGCACTTTCTGCACTCAAGTCAACAATTTTCGAGTTATCTCAAAAGCATGACTTTGTCAATGTAGCATCACGGTGACTTGCCAATGTTCGTGAGTGTCGAGTCATGATCTGGACTTGGTGGTCAGACTTGTCACGTAGAGTTTTAATAAATTGCGTGACAGATTTGCCTTGTCACATAACACTTTATCATCGTTTCGTGAAAGGAATTTTATCCTATAGAGTATTACCTGAAGAGTATCTTACATATTATGCTTGCAAGATGAAAACATAAACATTATATGCTAGACTTTTTTTTTTGCCTTTGATAGTAGCAAACCAACCCAAACCTTCTTTGAACTGCACCAAGTGTATGCATATGTTCTATGGGTTTCACTCCTTTTATGTTGCAGGTTTTCTGGCTAATTCCGCCCACCGAAAAGAATCTTCATCTGTACGAACAATGGGTGTTATCTGGAAAACAACAGAATGTTTTCTTTGGTGACCAAGTAGAGAAATGTTGCCGGACTTATTTGGAGAAAGGAGATACGTTCTTGATCCCCACAGGTGAGAGGGGAAAACAACCCATGGGGGTGAGATTAAATGAGTCAAAAACTACAAAAAACAACCCATGGGGGTGAGATTAAATGAATCAAAATCTCAAGTCATAATTTTTTATATGGAAACTCGATTTTAAGAGTTTCTTTCTGGGTTCATTAGCTCTCTTACTCTTGTTTTGATTTTTGTCACCAACCCTCTGACCCCTAAACAGTGACCAGCATATGAGTCCTCCTTATAATATCAAACCTCAATCACCCGAATAAAGAAAATGCTCACCATCTAAAGAAGCTTTTGATTATTAAACAATTTCTCCTTGTCAGCACCTTGGGAAATGTATAGAGAACAGTATGGAGAATAGGTACATTGATGTGTAAGGGTGTCTATAGTCTACAGTTATGGTGGTCAGTAACACTGCAATTTCTCCCTGGCTTTGAAGCACATGCCAATGAATAGTAGGCTGTTTAACTACATCAGTTGGCCTACCCCTAGTAGATAATTTGGTTTTTTAGACTGAGTTGATAACGCATATTGGCCACTTAGAGTTCCAAGGTGGCCATTATACATTATCAACTTAGGTGATGAAACCAAATTATCTTGTAATACCCCTCGCCGATGCAGCACAACACTTTCTTTAGAAACTTACCCCCCCTCTCCCTCCCCCCTTCGCTCACTTTTCTTTCCCTATGCAGAATGAAGGTGACAGAGTGTTGCTTGGTCAGTCGGTCGAAGATTAATTAAGGAGAGGGACTTGTTAGTACCAGGCGGTAGAATCCCCCTGAAAATAATTGATGGTGATATGAACGAGTGGTGTTCCATTCGGTCTTTAATCTTACAAGTGATTCAACAAAATCAGACGATTGAGAAGGTGGAGTCTGAACTATTATCGCGACTGTGATCACGTACCAAATTCGACGAGACGGATCAAACTGTGACCTAACAAGATAATCAAACGTGATCCAGCTCTTTTGGAAATGGAACGCTTGAGGCGATACGGAAGCCCGTTTTAAGTAGTTTCCCTCTCGGATGACACATGGCTTGACGTAGCCGCTACTTATTCCCATTTCCCATCCCCTTTCCCCTCCCCCTCCTCTTTACCTTTCCCTCCTGCTTATCTTTCTCCTCCCCTTTTCCTCCTTTTTCCCTTCCCCTCCTCCTCCTCTTTCCCCTTCGCTTTCCCTCCTTTTTCCCTTCCCCTCCTCCTTGTGTTTCCCCTTCCCTTCCTCCTCCTCTTTCCCTTCCCCTCACTGTCCCTCCCCGTCCCCTCCCCCTCCCGTCCGTCCTCCCTGTCCTCCTCTTGCCATTAAGCTTGATTTACGATCACAATGTACTGTGTTTAGGTTGGATCCATGCCGTGTTTACCCCTGAGGACTCGCTTGTATTTGGTGGGAATTTTGTGCATAGTTATAACATCCCGGGACAAATTAAAATCAGCCAGATCGAAGACAATACCAAGGTACGTGTAAATCTGCTGTTTGCCTTGAAATGACATTCCTCGCTCCCAAGTCCATCTGTTCTGCTCTGTTCAGCTCCCAAGTCCATCTGTCCATCTGTTCTGTTCCCTTGGAGACAGGTGATATCGAGGTTGAACAGAGCAAGGGTTTATTGTTTCCATGCTCCAAAACAATATCTTGTTCTAGGCTGCGTGTTGTAAAATTCGGAGTAGATTTCGAATCATTCCTTGTGCAGCGGTATTACCTCATATATGCCAAATGAGAGACGCGCCAGCTTTTTATCACGGAAGTAAAGTTCAAATAAGAGACCGGTCATCACATATCGCCAAGCAAGGAGTCGGAGGATTGTGGTTGTGTCGCGAAAACATCCGATCCTGTTGAGGCTCTTTTGTACTCTTATGACCCCACCCCACCCCCTCATTGGCAGTCAGCGACGACTGATCCTCCTCTGTCCCCCTGAAACCATGTGATCTCCCCAAAAATCCTCCGAACCCCCCTCTAGGTAATAAGTAATGACTGGTCCCTAAGGATCTGGGTAACAGTTACGAATCGTAAACATTGCGTTGTTCAAAATCGTTTTCACGTGAAAGGAAGCTTGCCCCTGTCGAAATTTACCCAACTCTGGGAACCGTTCAAATCTGAAAGATGCTTTTAAAATCAGTATGCGGGGAAATACATTGAAAGAATAATCTGGATTTCATGGACCTTGCAGCTCAGACCTCAGGTAAAGCGGGTCAAAAGAAGCTCATCCATGTAGTTAGTTTCTATGTTCAGTGGCCCTGGAAAGTCTCTGAAATATTTCATGCACTTTCCCTTTGAAGCATTTTTACTGGCCCAGTGTCTTTTATAGTTACATCAGAGTCAATTCGATTGAATGGTTCTTAGCAAAGATCTGTTTGGAAAGCTGCTGGAGAAGAACAGGCATCTTTAACGTTAGGAAAATTATTCTAGTCGTCGATAAATAAGTTTTTTTTTTTGTATGTCGCTGATTCGGTTTTTCCAGCTTTTAAGACTGATAATTGTTTCAGTGTTTTAAAAAAAACATACGAGGATAAGACATCAGCCAACTTTAAAATTAAGAACACTAGTTTTCGATAAAGCTGGCCTGCATAATTGGTACATTGTTTGATACTTGTTATTCTTTCTACAGGTCCCTCTGAAGTTCCGGTATCCGTTTTTACCTCAAATTATGTGGTACGCCGCTGACAAGTACGTCCGATTGTTGGAACAAAATAAACAAGAATTAGGCTTAAAATCGTCTACCAAAACAGATAACAAGGAAGATACTTCCGCTTTAAAGAAAAAAGACGCATCTGGCTTGAAAGGGAAAACTGCAGGTAAACGAACAGGCAAGAAGGATCCGCGAGAAGTGGACGAGAAAGCTAGTAATGGCACACATGGAGAAAATAATGAGGATGACTTAACAGAGACAACAGGGCGTAGGAGATCAAGCCGAGTCGCCAAGCAAGCTCAGGAGAACACCGAGAAAAAGAGCAGTACGAATGGTAAAGAAGAGGAACCTGATACAGAGGAATGGAAGAAAAAGAAGGGGAATCCTAAGCGACAAGCAAAGGACGAGGAAGTAAAGGTGGAAGTGAATGGGGAAACCCATGATGAAGAAGAGAACAAAGAGAAGATTGATGGTGAAGAGAACGAGGAAGATAAGAAGACTCCGTGGAGTCCGGTGTATCTTACACGATTTGAAGTCGATGGGTTGACTAAGTTGATAGAAAGACTGAGGGATTGGCCTCAAGCTCAAAAGAACGTTCCTAAGACTTTGGAAGACCCCGAGGGAGTGTTGCAGAGATTAGAGGTTGGTGCAACGTTAAGCTCCTCTTAAATAATAAAAACCGTTTTCAATAGTATGTCTATCTTTAAGCCATGGCACTCTACATTAGATGGTACTTCAGTTACCTCTCAGCTTGGTGTGTTTTTGGCGTACTAACTCTGTTTCTCTATTTAGGACCTTCTTGAATTACATAGGGACGATGACCCCGAACTTGCAGCGTCAGGGTTGCAACATCTGTTGCAGATTGACAAACCAGTAGTGGTAAGTAAAGCAGTAATGAGACGCACAGGTAGTTCAGTGGAATAATTGCTTGTTTGTGTCGTGAGTGATCTAGGATGTACAAGTTTTGCTTTACCAAGCAACTAAGGGAGTAATGGTATGATCAAAGCAACTGCACACCTACCTTGCCCTCGTCCAAAGTGAACGCTAGTTTGTAGTCACTGGACTGTTGTTGGCTTAGGGGAGGGATGGGTGCGTAGTTGCTCAGATACTGGCTTTCATCCCACTCAAGTTAGCTTTGAAAAGTTGTGCCACTATTTCAACCAATCACATGCAGCAGTATGTATTTGTAGAGACATTGATATATTTTGTTTCTGTTTTAGAAAAAACCTGTAGCAAGGAAACAAGGTCCAAGGGGACCAATGCTCGGTACTAAAGTCGGCCCAGGAATCAGACGCCGGCGCACTCGTTGTGGGCAGTGTGAAAATTGTCAACGAGAGGACTGTGGCGAGTGCCGCACCTGTAAAGATATGAAGAAATTTGGAGGGGCAGGAAGGATGAAGCAATCGTGTCTTCTTAGGGCGTGCACTGATGTATGTCAAGTTTTAGTCGTTTTAATTTACGCATACTGAAGTTTGTTAAGGGGGAAAGGAAGACACGTAGCTTTGACAGAACCCGGAGTTATAAATTTGTCAGGTAAACGGTAATGAGAAACCTGGTAAAATACAAGGGTTAACTTGCGATGGACTTGCGTCTCGTCCCTGGGCACATGCAAAACTCCTCGCCTCCTGCTGACTTAACTGGGACACACGCCTGTAGCTAATGAAATTAGCTCGTTAGTGGGAAATTGAATAGTTAATCTCTTGTTGTTCTCTTTTCAGCCTAACCTGCCCACTTGTGTGAAGTGTTTAGTTTGTAATCAGGTCAACACAGAGGATAACCCACTAATGGAGTGTCGCTTCTGTGGTGAGATTGTTCACCCGCCTTGTTTAAAAGACATCAAAGGGCAATGTAAGATTGTTACTGAGATCAACAACTGCTGGGAGTGTCCCAAGTGTTGCAAAGATGCAGCGGTGAGTACTGATGTCAAATTCTGTAAACTGAGAATTTGATGAGATTGATTTTTGATGAAGTGTCTGAAGTTATTGGGACTACTTTCTTCTTGTTTTACTTTGCCCACTGATTAGTTTAGAAAGGCTACGCTTAGCGATTCAGGAGATTTTCTAAATTTTACTTTAAGGTCAATTTGGCTCCTTCGTTATCTTTTGCATCGTTGTATCTGTCCTTTAGGTTTAACGAATTTCAGTCGAAAAGTGTTCGAGTGTGAGCCAGTATGCCTATCCTTTTGGCACACTCCTTCATATTGCAAAAGAATTTTCTTTACTATGAAACAGCAGCGTTAACATCACATGCGTTTTAGTACGAAACTGATGTAAGACACCGTATCTCTACAAGCAGTTCGAAACAAAGTGATAACGAGTCGGTTTCATTGATGCGTCTTACCCATCAGGAGTGGCTGAGCACTTTTCTACGTACCAAACATTATAGACATAGATGCGCTTTTGTTCAGTTTTGTAGATTATCATGAATTCAGAATTCCTTTCCTCTTCCACTTATCCGTCTCTCCATTCCTCTGTTTTTTGGGGTTTTGTTTTTTTTTTTGTTTTTTTGTTTTTTTGTTTTGTTGTTTTGTTCTTTGTTGTTGTTTTTTATTTTTTTACGGTAGCGTTTCTTTTCCAGTTTGTTTGGTTTGATTATATGTTCTCTGTTTCGTTAACATTAGTTATTTGCTACAATACTTGGAGTTACAATTTCGTTTCATATGCTCCCCAGACTATGAACGTACAGGAAAAGATATAATTATGGCCTCTCAGTAGTATACTTTATTACACGACTCGGGCAGTCAGAGGGCCAATAATTGCCGGTCCAATATTCTCTAAGTATTGGACCGGGGACTGTCCCGAATGGTCCCGAATGATACCGCAATTGTGTCCCTTTGAACTTCAGTCGTATAATAATTCTCTTATTAACCAAGCTTGCTCGGGAGCGTACTGGAAGAATATCGGCTCTCGGTCTTTTTTGTACGGACCTCGCTGCGCTCGGTCCGTACTGTCAAGACCTCGGACCGATATTCTCCCAGTACGGCCCTCGCGCTTGGTTAATAAGATATATGTATCTTTCATAGGCGACATCTGTCGATGATCTTCCAAGTATTCCTGCAAGGAAAAGAAAGGTAGTGTATTTTTGTACTGGCTAATAAACCCTCTGAACACTTAGAGTGACCAACATCGAATTTTTTACTTACAATGTCACCCACGAATCACACAATGTCACCCACGAATCACACAATGTCACCCGCGAATCACACAATGTCACCTACGAATCACACAATGTCACCCACGAATCACACAATGTCACGAGAATAAAGCAAATGATCACCAACTAAAGAAGCTAATGATTGTTAAACAATTTGTCCTTGTGAGGACCCTCGCAAACGTATAGAGAATATACATACCGAGTCAGGGTGTAAAGGGTTAAAAGGAAAAAGGCAACACAACTTCTAGGAAAGATTCAGGTAATTGTTTGTTATAATTCGAGGAAACTGACCGTTCAACAGAGGAACAAAGGTAACCGAAAGAAAAGTCCGAATACAGTATGGTAGTAGCTAACAGAAGTTTATTTTCGAATTCTTGCAATGTTTTTGTTTTGTTTGTTTTTCTTCTTTTGAACACAGGCAAGCCCCATTAAAGAGTCCGCTAAAAAGGTACAGTTAGTATGTTTTTGCTATTAGTTAAACGGCCACTACTTTTATTTCGCCCTTTACAAAATCTTCCCTCTAAGCAAGGTCTCTATAATCTTTTTGGTTAATTTTTATGACAAAAGTATTTGTCTCTGTACGAAAGATGATTGGAGGTATGCAGAGAATAAATGCTGAGATAAGTTTTAATGCGACATTTACTTCTCTCTCTATTTCATAAGGGATTGTAGACAATTTGGAATCTGAATTTAGCAGTCTATGAGATGTTTCTGAAGGCTCTTTCCCTGCACCCTTAAATTAAGTTCGGCTTAAGCAAGTTATTCATGGCTGATCGCCGTAGTGTTCTTTGCGCCTTACTTTACAGTGTTGTTCTTCTGTTGTTTGTAACACATCAAAACAACTGTTGCACAGTTTCCCTAGAACTTACTTCTGTTTAATCTTACGTCGCCAATTAACAAATGGTAAACACCACAGCGTACACTATTGAGTTATGGATGCACGCGGGAGGTTGCTAAGCACGAAAGAAGCGTAAGAGTCGCTCGAGGCGATAGCCGAGAGCGACTCTAGCTTCTTGAGTGCTTAGCAAACCTCCCAAGTGCATCCATAACTCAATAGTGTACGCTGTGGTGTTTACCATTTGTTTTATAACATAACATTGATACATTGTAGCTAAAGAGTTCCCTTTTATTTAACAAATCTTACGCGACCAGAAAAAACAAGCGCGCGCGGAAAAATAGTCTTTGCATTTGCTCACGTCAGCAGCGTACACCCATGGGCAAATGGGGGACGCTAAATTGACCAATCAGAGTGCGCGCTTTACTTTGGTTATGTTATAATTGCTACTGAACCTTGACCAAGACTTTTCTGCAGCAGTTAAATATTTTTTTATGCAATAAGTGCGGTAAGGAAACTCGGCCAAATTGCTGGATACTTTGCGTTGTTAAAGAGAGCCTTTCCTCCTCTACTCCCCCTATGTTTTACAAGTGATTCTCCTTGCCTGTTTCTATACAGTTCCTTGTGTATATTTCTGATGGTAATTTGGGATGGGTCAAGCTTAGGAGGTGCCCTATTCTCTCAATCTGTCTGCTTCTGGTTGTATAAATAGTAGAGAACATTATAACGCGTTCGTGTTCTCTTGATAGTTAATTTAAGAACAAATAACATGGATTTTAAACGATGGCAGGAAAAGCGCTGTTGAAACGAAGTGCTGTTTTGTCATTCAGTGCTATGAAGCAAGGGCCCTTTTTGGTCATTCGCATTAATGTACCTTAGCACAAAGAGGAGAGAGTGTTGCTGCTCTCTTAAATTCAAGCACCGCACAGAACGACACGTGCATGAATCTGAGGGTAACTAAGGCCAGTGTACATGGCGCTTCAGACTGCGGGCTAAGTTTCATTCGCTAGTATTCTTCTGCTTTTTAAATTTCTCTAAATTTGGTTAACATTCACGAGGGCTACATAGTCGTCCGTACTTGTCTCTCTTTTACGTGGAAACCTTTGTAATTGTCGTGGACTAAAGTGTTTCGGTTTTAATTTTATTGCTTCGTCGTCATCTCGCTTGTGATCGAAACCATCGTGTGTAATGCAGCTATGAATTTAAAATATACCAGTTTTTTGTGATTTTTGGGATGTCTACTCATCGTACGATGTGAACCATTGCCATTGTTTGCTATCGGTCTCCGAGTCACTGCACTGCGTCTTTTTCTGTGGTCGTTCGGCTTCCACGAGAAGGGGTCCAGTACGTTCGGCTAAGATTTGAAATGAAGTTTATCAAAGTCGTCTAATAACTCACTGTAAAACTCGTTTCCTAATCGACAGGATGACCGAGCTACAAAAGAGAAAATCAGAAAGGTGCCTTTAAGTATGTGTATCATTTGATTTCGTTTTTGTGTGTGTCTGATCAGTGAGACATCAATTCGTTTTTTACTTGATGGCACGTAGGCCATTAAACATATTTCTCAAGCCGAACCTTCACCAAGTTTGCTGACCCCTTCTCAGGGGCCGCGAATGTAACTTTTTCTGAAAAGTTCGAAGCGAAGAAGAATGAAAAAAGGAGTAATTTTAAAGCTTTGTAAGAAATAGATACCTACCCTTTACATCCAAGATTAAAGTGCTTGTATGGTCACAAACGTACATAGTAAAAATGGTGAAACCTCTTTGAACTAAAGTAGACTTCCTTCTCATTCACAGCAATTAATGTTGTGAAGCTAGATGTAGTGTGGTCTCGCTTCAACGGCTGACAGAAGCCAGAAGCCTGAATATTACTCGCATCAACCTTCCATACTCAGGTGCACAGTTAAAAACCTCTTTCTTTTTCTTTCAGAGGAGCAAAATGGAGAGCGAGTCCTCAGAAGAAGGAAGTGACGAGTTTTCTGTGAATGTTTCGGATGAAGTGACTTCACGGCATCGCCGTCCTGTTGTAGCACCCAAACCTCCACCTGGCCCTCCGCCAGAAGTACAACCTAAACTCGTGGTTCGTCCTTGCCCAGTCTCTCCTCCTCCTCAGTCTTTTTCGCTGGACAGTGGCCAAAGTCACGTGATGGACCGTCAGCTTTGGCTTTCAGTGTTTAGCTTTCTTTCCCAGCCTGAGCTCTGTCTGTGTATGCGCGTGTGTCGCACCTGGAACCGCTGGTGCATGGATCGCCGTCTCTGGTCTGTGATTGATTTATCAGAAAAGAAAGTTGTGACGCCTTCGGCCCTGAAGGGGATTGTACGGCGCCAACCTACAACACTTAACCTGAGCTGGACAAACGTCACTTATAAACAACTGCAATGGCTTCTAAACCGTCTGCCGAGAATAAGAGAGTTGTATCTGAGTGGCACAACGGAAGCCACGGCGTATGCGCTCTCCACCGTCATCTGCCCTCGGTTGAAAGTCCTGGGGCTTAGCTGGTCCGTTGGAATCACTGACTCTCTGATGAAAAAACTTGTTTTACCTGTTTCTGACTCACGTGCGGCTCCAGGGGACAACAAAAGCCCTTTTTTAAGATTATCCACCCTCTTTCTTTCCGGCAGTGACGTCACTGGTTCGACTCTTCGTTTGCTGGTGCAACATTGCCTTGACTTGAAGAAGCTGGACCTGAGTTTCTGTCCCGGAATAACTGATCAAGATATTGAAAGTGTCTGTGGACAGGCATCGATAAATGAGTTTCTTCTGAGTGGCTGCGCTAAGCTGTCTGATAAGTGGTTGTCCTTTTTGAAGCTCTTTCCGTCGCTTCTCCGTCTTGACTTGCGCTCTTGTAATGGGGTCACTTCCGATGCTGTTCAAGAATTTGTTAAATCTCGCAAGGATTTGCTGAAAATACTGGAAGGAAAACTTATTGTAAATATGTAAATACGGCTGTCTGTGATGCCCGGCACTGGCATAACCTTTGCTCGATCGAACTCAAAACCTTTTCAAAACGTTTTCTTCGGCCGCTACACCAACCTTATTCGCATGCCCATTCGTTTCGTTCTTAACCATTCATGGACACGTTTCCTTTGTTGGTTTGGTGATTTGAAATCATGTCGCTTCCATTTTTACTCTTTAAGTTTAGTTGGACGTAGGTGGGATTGTATCACTGTAAGATGACAACTGAGGGTTGACCTGAGGTTTAAGGTACAACGCTCCTCGCCATTGTTTGTTTTATTCTTTAGCACAACATTTTGTCTTTAACAATTTGAGGACATTTGCTTTAAAAGTGGGATGTATTGAGTACGAGCAAATTAGCACTAAACAACTGCCTTCACCTTTTCAGTGTTCTTTTCCCTAGCTGCTTGTTCTTAGAGTTTTCTCTCGATCACTGCTATGTTAAGCTCACATTGCAAGTTATACATCCACCCACAGAGCTTCATAGTAATGGAGCCATTAGAGAGGGAGCGGTTTCCGAAATATGTGACGAAGATCACAATTTCTCGTGGTTCACTGGCACAGAAAAATTTTGAAATGAAACAAACCAGGTCATAGCAGGCACGCATTTTTTTTTTTCTTTTTTTTTTTTGTCGTTTGATTATCATGTACTCAGTTCTATGCAGGTCCAACGATAATTGTTAAAGTTTTCTTAATTTTTCTTTATAAAATATACGATGGACCCGTATAAAAGATGCAGTTACTTAAATCTTAATGCGTTTAGACCTGCTTTTGTGAAACAATTTTTGTAAATTGAATAGTTTTAATGACAGCATTTTTTTTACGAAATTAGAATAGCTGATTTTCACTATTGCTCAAATAGTGCTTTACTGCGAAGGATCGTTCTCATATACGTTAGAATAGCTTGTTGTACACTAAGAATTGTGGTACGGTTAAAGTTAAGTTTGTAGACAGTTTCATGTGGTTTACGGGGGGTTTGTCAAAGTGCAAGTTCGCCCCCCGCCCTCCAAACACTTCGTCTTCGTCGCGACGAATTTAACGTGCTCCAGGTGTTAGTAAATGAAGCGAAAAAGTAAAGGACGTGATGGTAGTGGCAGACAGAACTCGACGGAGGCCTGGGTCCGGCCTCTTACAGAAAGGGGTTCATTACGCGACCTGACCCAAGCTTCCCCCGTTTTTTCACTCAACTGCCACTATCGTGCTGAACGCGCAAAACAGGCTATGACATATTAGTCCATCGATCATAGTGAGTTCGCCTCTGCCTTCAACATCGTTCCCAGGGCCTTTTCCTTTAGTAGGGGGTGTAGTTGGGGTCATGTAAGCTTGGCCCGCCGTTGCCGTTCGCAGCGATTTCAGTTGAGCTGACGTTCCGAGCATGCGCAACTCATCATATCAAGTTCGGAGCTTTTGGTTTGTGTGTGGGTGTTTTTCTTGAGGATGTATTTCTGCCCTGGAGTGAGTATGGTGACGGATGATACGTGATGAACTAATTACTCGATAATTTAATGAGAAGGGTGGTTTAATCCATTGAAGGTGCGAAATTGAGCGAGTAATTTCTGTTGTAGAGTTTTGCGCTTTTCGGGAATCGCAGAAATGATCTCTATAACTTTTGCTTCTCTTTCTGCACTGAGAGTAAGTTATGCAGTACATTGCATCAGTGGAGGCACAATCCAAATGGCGAGCGAGTTTGAATGAGCTTTTCTATTTCTTTGGGACCTGTCTGTTGGATCACAAACGTAAGCATTTGAAGATCGCGGTTGTTCGTCAGTTTTGTAAGTTTTCTCACTTAGAAATTGCCAACATTTCTCCTTTTTGAAGAAAACAAATTGAAGTTGTGTAAAAAATTTACACCTTTGAAGGGGAACCAGAGGCCTGATAACTGTCAAACTAATGGACAGAGTTTTACTCATTGCTATATTCTACCCATAATTCCTCTCGTAGGCCCCGTCTCCTTTAGGGTTAGGGGAAGGACACGTTAATTCCCCACGCACGAGACTACTGTGTGGTGGATGTCCTCCCCTGGGGTGGGATGGGTGGGTGTTGCTCGGCATATTAGCATGTATTGCTAGAGGCCTGATCAGCCTCAACAACCCGAGTTGAAATAAAGTTACCTACCTAGCTAAGAACAGGCTCCGGAGTTTGTGGCTAAATATCGCACACCTTTCTTGACTTTTGAACCTAGAAAACCTGAACATACCTCTCAGAAAATACTACAACTTGGGCACGGGTTCCATTGCCGCAAACTCTAATAGTTATATGGGTTATTAACCAAACGTGAAGTCAACATGGCTGGATATTGGTCGAGTTCTTTTTTCGCATTTTTATGGACCGAGAGGAAGTCGAGGTCCATAAAAATGCGAAAAAAGAACGAGGCTAATATCCAGCCATCTTGACCAAACAATCTTGGTTAATGAAGGATTTATTATATCACAAAAAGATTGCGCTTTAACTGACTGATAAGAATTAAGAATTCTTGTTTACTTTGTTTTGACTATCTTCTGTCATTTTTTGCGTTTCCATCGCCGAAATTGTTCAAGAATTACCAACATAGCTCTAATTAAATTTTTTTCATGCGCGGGATCAATGCGGGCAATCCCGAGCGGGCAAGACGGGCCCATCTTGCCCACTCGGGTAGCCAATCAGAAGAAAGGATTCGCATCATCTTGCCCACGGGCGCTGCGAGCCATGTGATATAAGTTTACGCATTACCTTTCAACTTAGATCGAAAATTGCGAATTGTTGCGTATGAATCGCAATTAAGTATCTCTCAAGATCTATTTTTACACTCTATAAAATCAGACTTAAAACACCAACGGACCGTTTACGGGCGACAGTCGGCTGACAACTAGACGCAACTTCTTAAGTGTGTTTGGGTTAAATGCTGAATATGCAAGTATCGCGAATCGCGCCCGGTCTTTAAGGACACAGCCAACAATGTGTTTTCTTTTCTAAGAAATGCAGATCCTGTCACTAAGGCTCTAAGCAGTCAGGCACGAGTCAAAGCATACCCAAAACGTTGCCTCTTTGGTCAGATTTTAGGAGTAAGTTTAAGATCCTCTTCCGCTTGAGTTGGCTTGGAGTGGTTTCGTTTTTAACTTTTCTCTCTGGTGCAATTTTCCCAATTTCCGAATCTTGTCATGGATATCAAAACCTTACTTAACAATCTTCATGAAGAGGTCTCCTGTTCTGTGTGTATAAACACACTCACTGATCCAAAAACGCTGCCATGTTTACATGTTTTTTGCTTGAATTGTTTGAACGGGATTCATCGAACTAGTGGCCGCCGTGATGTCATTGCATGCCCTGAATGTCGAATGGAGATTCAAGTTCCTGGTAGTGGAAATCTTAAGGATCTTCCAACTAACTTTCGCATCAACAGTCTGCTTGACGCGTTGGCCATTAAAGAGTGCAATGCCATTGGAGTTACGTGTGGAAATTGCAACGAGAAGAGCTCCCAGAGTTTCTATTGCTTTCAATGTTGTGCATTCTGGTGCAAGGCCAACTGCATCAGTTTTGACAATGGAATGAAAGCGAATAAGGAACACCGTGTACTAGCGCTCAAAGACTTTAAGGACCAAGATTTTGCAAACATTTTGAAGCGAGAGTAAGGAATTGGAGTTTTTCTGCAGAGATTGCTGTGTTCCAATTTGCCATTCGTGTGTTGCCACTAATCATGACGGTCACGCCAAGATGCTTTTGGAAGAAGCTGCAAATGAACGAAAATTAAAACCAAAGTTAGTGCTCGAGAATCAGAAGAAAACAGCATCGGAGAGGAGGCGAGAAATTGCTTAACTTGACTCGGACTGTGCCAAAATTCAAGACCATGTCGCCAGTGTAAAGAAAGGCGTGCAGCAGTTTGTGGACAACATGATGGCCGTCATGGAAGCGCAGAAGCAAGAAAGCTTTGATTACTTAGACAACAGAGCGGCAGAGTCCATGCAGCGTCTGAAAATACAAAGAGGTGAGATTGAAAACCAAGTTAAAATAACTGAAACAGAAATCGGAGCAACTGAGGCAATTCTGCAAAGGAACATTAGCACTGAAATTATGTAGTCAAACACAATTCTAGAAGAAATATTTCAGGGTCACTGAAGTTGAGCTAGCTTACCTTCCCATTGGCAATCAGAACACTGCAGATTTTGGATTTGTGAGAAATCAAAGATTGTTCGATTTTACATGGACTGACAAAATTGGCTTTGTTAAAGTTCTTCTTACTAGTTCAGCTGAGTCAAGCGCCTCAGGAAAAGGAATCAGTGAAGCAACCATTGGACTAGAAGCAAACATAGTTTTGACAACAAGAAACGCTAAAGGAGCCGGCACAGTGTTATGAAAAGCGTGACTATGTAACTGTGGAGATCAAAAATCTGGAAAGCCATGACGGTGCAATAGAGACTCGAGTCCAGGACATCGAAGATGGAAGTTACAAGATCAGCTATTTTGCTTAAGAAACCGGAAAATGCCTTGTGTCCGTGAAGGTCAATGGAGAGCACATTCGTGACAGTCCCTTTACAGTTGAAGTAAAACCAAGACAGTTCAGACCCGTGTTATCCTTCGGAAAATTTGGTTCAGGCAATAAAGATTTTGCTTTACCCTGGTGAGTGGCAGTAAACGAACGCGATGAAATTGTAGTCACTGACAATCGTACCAACAGGGTAAAGGTATTCAGTAGTGATGGAACTTACTTAAGATCTTTTGGGTATAAGGGAGGTAAAGAGGGAGAGTTAAACTCGCCTGAAGGAATTGCAATTGATAACGATGACGGAACCATCTTCATAGCAGATTCAGATGATCACCGAATTCAACTATTCAGTGGAAAGGGGGTATTCCTTAACAAGTTTGGTGAAAAGGGAAATCTTGATCACCAATTCGGCAGTCCTTGCGGGTTATCTATCGGTAGTGACGGAAATTATATTGTTGCTGATGACGAAAATGAGAAAGTTATGATATTTTCTCGTACCGGCCAGTTTCTCCGTAGCATAGGCTCTGAGGGTTCTTTCACCACTGCCACTCACTGCATCCAGTACAAGGAATATTCATATTGTCAGACTATGAGGAACACTGTATTAAAGTTTTCGACGAATCTGGACATTTTCTGTACAAATTTAGAAAGTTTGGCACACAGGATGGGGAGTTCGATGGGCCGACTTATTTGTCAATTAACAAAGCTGAACACCTGATGGTCTCTGACTTACGGAATGATAGAATTCAGGTATTTGAACTAAATGGAAAGTTTATAGGAAAATTTGGCACAAAGGGTAAAAAAATAGGACAATTTGATGGACCATCCTCTACAGCAATTCTCGGAGATGGTAGAATACTTGTTGTTGACGTAGGAAATGGTCGGGTTCAGATAATTGAGTAGCCTCATCTTCTATTGTCCATAAAGAAGTGATATAATAGTAGTATTATTCATTTTGCTGATTCTTTAAACCTTTTGTTTATTACATGTGAAAGCTTCTTGTTACTTTAGAATTTTTAACAGTGTTTTACAAAGTGCGCCTCAATTGTAGCCAAAAAGATTACACGGACAAACGAGTTTCAATGGACATATCTCTGTATCCACAGAGTTGAGTTTTAATATCATAAACGTTTGTGAACTATATTAATTTTTTTCGGGTAAAGAATTCAGTTTGAAAATTTTTTTTTAAACAATGTTTGCAAGAAAGGACCTACATCGTGAAAAAGGACTTGATCTAGTGATTCATTATGTACTCTTGAGATCGACTGTTAAGCTCTTGAAAGGAGTAAGCAGTGGTTAGGGAATGGACTTTTTCTGATTGTGCTATAGTACGTTTTAGTCCTTTCTTGCAGTAAGCAGTTTCAAGATTTAATCGAATATAGTATAGAAATGTCTCTCTAGTCAGGAGAGTTTAAGTCAACAAATGATTATTTCATCAAATTTTTTTCAGTAACATGAATAGAAAGAAAAAACAACAACAACTGACAAAAACAAAACAAAAAAAAAAGACAACAACAACAAAAAAGCAAACAAAAAAAACCCCCAAACAAATAAAATAGATTAGGTCAGGTGGTAAATCTAAGACTACTGCAAAATTGTTTCGCTGCACATAGGCGTCTGATTGAGTGCCACTGAATTTATTTGTATTTGAATAAAATTCTGTCGGTTTGGGTTATGAATTTTGCAGACTCAAAAATTCTTTCCATTATACCAAGACTACAAAGAGAAAGAAAGACTACTAGAAAACGTTGTACTTGTATATCAGGGGTTGCTTTAAATAATTTGTGCTCAGTTAGACCTGACTTTCTTTTCCAATACCGATATAGGATTAGTTTGATAGTAGTTTATTAAGAGCACTTTCTGTTGTTAAGTTAACAAATTCTTTATCTACTACATTTGTACTTTTTGAAATTAAGGGAACTTTAATTTACACAATCCTTTCGCTTAAATGACCAATTCTCTTTTCTCAGGCCTGATTATTGTCATCTGTAACGATGATCTTTAGTAGTTTTTGGGGTGATCAATTCCCGCATTTGTCGCATATGTAGCTCTACTTAAAATCTATATTTAGCTGTAAGCATTATAACGTTTATAATGTTGTTACCAATAAATGTAAGTATCTGAATTCGGCTTATTTAATTGCTTCGCCTGTTTCATCAATCACGGAAGGGAAGGGAGGGGGGGAGGGGTTTGAACAATTGTCAAAACACCTTTTTTTAAGCGCTAAAAAACCTTCGAAATCAGTGCCTATCAGTTCCTGTATCGCCGAGTTGATTAGCCATCGGCCAAAACTGGATAATTTAAATCGAAGACTAAGTCTCAAGTTTAACCAACTTCACTTCGAGCCCAAATGAGTATCCATTAAGTAGACATGTCTGTTTCGCACGTGATCACGTTCAAGTTGAACTTTCTTCAAGTTCAGAACTAATTCTCGTCAATACCAAATGGCCTGAATTCAACTCATGCTCGAGTGATTTTGTAGTGATTTTGTAGGTTGATTTGGTGTTTGGAGACGCGAGCCTTATCAAACCCAAATTCTTTCTGGCATTGGTGCTTGTCCTAAAAAGCAGCCTTTTTATATTTCAGGACATGAAACAGTTTTTCAGAGAAAATGTCTGATTGTGTGTATTTTTTTTTTGACACCTAAAAAAAATGTATGTCTTCTCTTCTTTTTTACGTCCGTGATATTAGAAGGCGTGACACCTGTCACGCAGTCACCTATTAACAAAAAACATCCACGCTGATTGGTCAGCGGGTACTACCCTGAAATAAATAAATACAGTATGGGTTATTACCGCCATGTCGGTTTAGCAAAAATACGTGTTTGTACTGGATAAAAGTCTCCTTAAAATATAAAAGGACATCCAGCTGATCCTCACAAATGAGAAAAAATTGACATGAAGCACGCAGAGGAAGAGTGTGTACAAAAACTGACGGTGAAAAGACTCTTTCTCACCCGTGGAAAGCTGAAAGCATCAAGTCGCACATCGGCTTTGATGTCTGGTTTTGCAATGGTTAGTGTTTTAATGCTTCAAATTATATTGACTTTAGGAAACAGAATATGACTTGGAAATATTTCCGTATAACCCCATACCAATCAAAAACAAAGCCGAAGTCCCGGAGGTAATCTGTTGTTTTGCCTCTGCTTTCTTTTATCCAAGAATTGTATAATGAAGTATGGGGTTATACGGAAATCTTGCCCATGACTTTATTTGATGTTTGTGATATTTAGCAGAGAAATATTATAGTGTGCGGATCTTTCCTTACGCTGCTTATTTTTGGAATGTTTTTGTTTACAAAGTATGTTTCGTCAATTAAAATCACAAATCGATAGTGGTTTAGCATGGTCTGTACCCTTACCGAAAACAAATTATATTCGTTATCACAGGGGTCAGAATGTTGTGGACTCACGAGGCGCACCTCAGTGAGTCTGCTACAAATTTTGACGTCTGTGATGATGAATATTGCAGTTGATAAGAATGTTCACCTCAATCGGCTGTAATATTGCAATCTGAATGGCCAAGTACAGACCAAGCTAAACCACTGTCGATTTGTTTTTTAGCATGATATTGACATCAAATAAAACATTTCTTTCAGTGCATGACATGTTACGTGACACACTGATACCAGCAGCGTTGTCTGTACTCTTATCGGCAACAGAAAATTGGCCAATCAGATTGTAGCATTACTGCCAATTGTGGTAAAATAACTATTGTGTTAATTTGATTGTTTATCATGAGTCTCCATTGTTATCAGAAGTTTATCTTTCTTGCATTTGCAGAATTTTTTGTTTACACTTTGATAAGTACCAGTCGAACACTGTTGAATTGTAGTACAATGTAGGTTTGTGGAATCTTTGGTTGACTTTTATGTAATGTGGAAATTAAATATTCAGTTTATAAAATAACTGAGATACTATGAGGGCCCTGATTGGTCAAAAACCTATCATTTAATGTACTGGTAAACCCATCAAACATTGGTCTGATTTTCGCTATTGCATAAATAGCGCTATCTACTGCGAGGATCGTGCATCATACGTATCTAATACCGCAGTTCAAAATATATGAACTTCATATATTCATTGTATCTGATTTATCACTTTCACGGGTTTATTATGAATCAACTTAACGGCCTGCTCCCAGTTGGCTTGTTAGCTCAATTGGTAGAGCCCTGCACTAGTATCGCAGAGGTCAGTGGTTCGAGTCCCGTACAGGCCTGATTTTTTTTTTTTTTTTTGGTCTGATTTTCGCTATTGCATAAATAGCGCTATCTACTGCGAGGATCGTGCATCATACGTATCTAATACCGCAGTTCAAATATATGAACTTCATATATTCATTGTATCTGATCTATCAAACATTGTAGAATTCTAAGTTTATTTTATAAAAGCAACTGACTGTAATTTTCTATTTGTTTACTGGCAGAATTACCCACTTGGGATGTTGAGAGAACACTTGAAAAGTTTGTAAATCATGAGCGGCAGTTAAAAAAAAAAAAAGTCTTTTTATAGGATTACACAATTACTGGTGAACCAGTAGTTTCCATTGTGGTCCTTGCAAACAAATGAAACAAATGGTCTAAATTGAACATAACATCATTAAGAACATCATTAAGAACCCCAACTGGCCGGAGGCAAACCAGTTGGCTATTTACAAGGGTGGCCAAGGATCTGAACTCTGGGCCACCGAGAAACAAATCCAGTGGTCAGGGTGGGACACGAACCTGGGAGCGGCGGATTACGAGTCTGACACTCTAACCACTCGGCCACACTGCCTCCTTTGAGTTGCTTGATTTTTAAACTTTTCTGGTGTTTGCTCAACCTTCTGGGTGTGTTTTAGCACTCAGTCTGGTTCATTAATAGAAAGTCTCTAGGTTATATAGAGCCAGAATAGAAGACAACTTATCATGGGCTATTTGGAGTGATACTCTATCCTATGAAGATACAATTTTCATAGGTCAGACCTTAATAGAGATGTAGAGTCATTTCGATATTCTATAATTTTTAATGGCCATCTGGTGCCCTTGGAGTGAAGGTGACAAGAAAATGTAATTACCATACTTCGTGACTAGACTTTTCATCGATAGTTACTCAGGAGAGGGTGTATTTGAGCAGTTTCATTTCTACGGGTGTTTGAAATTGGCAACTTCCAGTCAAAGAGAAAAGAGTTTGGACTAAAGGTATCTGTATGTACATGCAAAACTTAGTTGATTATCTCACCCTCTCTCCATGGACTATTGTCGCTATACCATCCTTCCTATAATTGGATGGGACACTTCAGTGCATTTTCTGTTCTTTGAAGGACCTTTTCCTTGTTTCATTCTTAGGTAGCCATGGTGGAAATTCAGTTAGAACCAGGTGTGCCGGAAGGGCTTTTGATAGCATTCAGTGTGATGACTACCATTCTGATCTCAGTTCATGTCTTTGCACTTATGATATCTGTCTGTATTCTGCCAAATATTGATGGTGTGGCAAATATTCACCAACAAGGAACCCAAATTGTACAAGATTCTCCTCACGAAAAACTTCACATGCACATTGAAATAGCATGGATTTTCTCAACTGGCCTTGGGACGCTTCTTTTTTTAGCAGAGATTGCAATACTCTGTTGGGTGAAGTTTTACAATTACAGTAAGCCTGCGGCAGTGGCTGCTTCTGTGGTATTAGTTCCTGTATGCATTGTGTTTGTATGGTTTGCCTTGCATTTTTACCGATCTCTTGTCCAACACAAGTATGAAAGGTCTTTCCAGGGAATTGAAGAACTGCAACAGATTGCAAACCAACTGCACACAGATACAGGAACAGCACCAAGCTCACCAGCAGCCAGTCCATGTCCTAATCACAGGGTCTGAGATAGTTTGTACACCACTTTTTGTTGGCATGCTCCTTGTTATGGCTGTGCCTCCCAAAATCAGTCTGACTTGCAATCCTCCTTTTTCACTGCTTCTCAATTCCTTATAATTTCTTAGAGAAATTGAATTCCAAGATAACACCCTCTAGCTTACATGTTTGTGTTTTCTCATAACCTTTTTCTGAATAATCTTTTGGAACTGTAAAGGAAAGAGACATGATTATCACTTTTGGAAGGATAAGTTACAAATTGCTCTAAAACAGTAAATTATGAAACTCCTGACCAAGAAGTGATAAACATTTACTCTCCCTATAATATCCATATATTGTTTGGCAAACAAGCAATGAGAATATTCAAATTTATCAGCAAGAAGTTATCTTGATCTAAAACCAAATTCTGGTAACTAATTTATGAAGAAATGTGCAGCAGCAAGTGGGAGAATTAACAGTTAGATCTTGGGAATTAAAGGTTTAAACCACAAGCAATATAATCAGTATGTCATTATTGTTGGTTATAATAGGTGTATTGATAAGTGTATATATATCTTATCAACCGAGCATGAGGGCCGTACTGGGAGAATATCGGCCTGAGGTCTTGACAGTACGGACCAAGCTGCGCTCGGTCCGTACAAAAAAGACTGAGGGCCGATATTCTTCCAGTACAGTCCCGAGCAAACTTGGTTAATAAGAGATTTGTTATANTTATATTAGGTCTATTGATAAGTGTATTGTGGTCTTATTTACTCTCTGTCTCTGATGTGTAATACTTCGTTATTTTTGTCAAATGTATTGACATGGAATAGTTGTAAATTACTGTAAATGCATTCATGACTTTGTATGAGACTAAGGCCTCCCTTTTAACATACAAGTAAGGTATTTGCTAACTTGGATACTGAGCATACAAGGCTGAAAATTTTTAAATTCGTTGTAACCTTGTCTAAGTTTGACTTCTTGTGATTTCATTCTTAGGAAATTTACCAAAGGCTTTTTTGTTATAACTGTTTACTTTGGCCAGGATTTGTACTACTGATTTTGCAAATTTAAGCTGTCATTCTACTACAGGATTTGATTAATTTCTTTTCATCAACAAGGAGATTTGAACTAGTTGAAAGTGGTTTGTGCATGGACATGTAAGTGAAGTGAAAAGGTGATCCAATATACAATGGCAATATTTGTACCATAAAAAAATGATTTAACAGGTTGGAGATTGAGGTCCCATCTATTCCATTTAGCTATATTCTTCTTGTTTTTACTATAATAATTTAAAATTTACAAAGGAATCAGTATAAACTATTTGTGTGATATTTGGAACCTGCATCAACAGTGTGAATATTTTATTTAATTGATGATGATTACTGGAGTATCAAGAAGGCTGCTGTACAGAATATTTTAACTCATTATACTTTACAGTGAAATACAAAATGCTTATTCATTGTACACTACAGAAACTTATCTAGACCAGAGTAAACAAACTGCTAACAATTATAAACATTGTTGTAGTCTACAAAAAGCAGAGGTTGTACTTGGTGAGAAAATTGATCAATAGAATTCTTGGAGTAAGGAGAAAAGTCTTTCATAAATAATGCAAAAGGTTCTTCAAATCAAGATTGGTTATTTCTATAGTACATTTCTCATTCGATATACTGGTCAAGCTTCTTTGAACAAATTGTACACAATCGTATGCTAGTTACTCTCGTGCATTAGTTTATGTTCGTGACTAGTTTCAGTCTAAGCTAAATGTTCAGTACTGATATCTAGCTGTACTGATTTCCTTCAATTTAGGACACATTTTCATAGAACTAGGTTTTATCTGTTATAAAGTCCATATGCCTTTGGCTTTTGTTCGTATGTACATTGCATAAAAAAAAAAATAGGGACAACTCAATAAAATTATATTAATCTACTAGGATTGTTGTTCATCAAGGAATGTATCTTCTGCATCTTTGATTACTCCTCTTGTATCTTGCAGTTTGCACTGTATTTGAAAAAAAAAAAAAAAAGGAAAATTATGCAAATAATATTATTTTGTATTAATGCTTTACTGGTACACCTCGACATCAGTATGCATATTGTCCTTACTGTTCTTTCTACATTTCCTGAAGTGCTGGTAAAGGGAAATTTGAAACAAATGAGAGCTTGTTTACTTGATGATCATTTCCTTTATTCTCCTGACCTTAATGTTTGCTTCAGGGGTGATATTGTAAGGAGAAATTAGATGCTGGTCACTCTTAGGGGTCAGAGGGGTTAACAATTACATATAAGTGTTACTAATGCAATACAAAGTTATGTTCCTGAAGGCAGAAATCAGGAATGAATGTTTTTCCCATGTTCATGAAAATAGTGTAACATCTTTCCTATGTTTTGTAAGTCCAAGTTCAAAGTTTTTTATATGGGTTTATGATACTCTGTCTTCTACCCGACACCTTTAGCATTGCTGATCTTGACAGTATACAGAACATTTTTTGCATTTTAAGAACAAAGCTCTCAAGTTGGTGTGCTGGCAATGAGTGAGATTTTTTACCTAGCAGCCTTTGATTGTGATGCCACAGGTAGTGGTGGATCTAGGGGAGGGGCAGGGAGGGCCTGGGCCTCCCTTACTATGGGTGAAAAAAATTGAAGGAAGAAAAGCTGGCAGGTGTACACACACAAACACTGGGTCCCCCTTAGCTCAAGGTCTGGATCCACCACTGGTCACAGGTATCACCCTTCTGGGGGGGGTATGGAGGCATACTCCCTAGGAAAATTGTGAAAAAGTGAAGTAGTTAAGACCTGCATTCCTTTATTCTAATGCTCAGTTGGTTGAACATTCAACCAAAAAATTAGAAGGTCTGGGATCTGAATCTTTACAACATTCATCTATAAGCAACCTTGATCTTACACTTATAAAGAAATCTTGATATTGTTGTTTTCATATCAGTAATGCTAATCTTTCGGAACAAGACACAAACCTCAGGTATTGGGTACGTTGTTGGGTTTGGAGCCTCATGTCGACCAAAATCTTCCATAGTGCCACATTTTGGAATGTTGTCACACCACACCCCAGTGTACATCTGACCTCGATCAAGATAGAAGAATTTACCCTTGCCATGTTTTTTGTCATCTTTCCATTGACCTTCATATCGATTTTCATTTGCTACCAAACAAGTAACAAGTATCATAACTTACTTAATGTAACAAAAGCATGATTTCTGAGTCAGGTAATTGAGAAGCACTTCTTCAGATCACTGAAAGCCATTCTTGTCAACCCTTTCCCTTTTAAGATCTAAAAATGAATTCTCTGTACCATCCCCCTTATGTTACTTAATTATGATTCTAGCTATGAGAATTTAATGTTAAATCAAGAAATATCTTCTCATTGATATTTTCTTCTTGTTACTTTTCTGCTTGAAAATGTAAGGATATTGTAAGGAGAAATTCCTTGTTGGTCTCTCCTTGGAGTGAAAGGGTGAAGTGAAAAGATCTTTATCTTGTTCATGGCACAGACCTTGCTGAGCTCGGTCTGTACATCATGACCTTGGGCAAAATATTTTCCCATCTGGCCCTCCCACTCAGTCAACAAGTACATATTATTTACCAATCAATGTGGGTTCGCAAATTACATGTCACTAATAAATAACAAGCTTACCAAGTCTAAGCATTCCTTCGCCAGTTCTCATATTGTTGTACCATTCTCCCTCATAGACTGAACCATCAGAAAAATACATTCTTCCCCAGCCACTTCGTTTGTCTGCATACCATTCCCCCTCATAGTATTCATTATATGAGTAGAAATTAGTTCCATAACCCTACAGAGGAAGAATAAATCAGTGAACAGGTGTATACAGATAAACATACAATGTCTCTTTTACATAATTTGAGAAAACTCCAATGGCAACCTTCTTACTATGACAGTAGTGCTAATGTTGGTAAGTTAAAGTACCAAGATTTCTAGAGTTAGCATACTATAGGAGGTATAAAACAATTTCCAGACCAAAGTTGATAAACTCTGCCAACCTTCTAGGGAAAGTAGACATTCCTGTCACATTAACCCCTTGGTCTACTAAATAATTCAATTATAACGATTAGTACCTTTTCTTTTGACTACTTTGATTTCTTTCCCC